CGCGCTCCGCAATCGCACCGCCCGACCCGCCCCGCCCTCCTCTTGCCGCCCGCCGCCCCCCCTTCCCTCCCCCTCCCGGGTCCCCCTCCCCCCAGCCCCCTCTCCCCAGAGGCCCGGTCTGGGGAACAAAAGAGCCGGCGAGCGCTTTAAGCGGCCGGACATTCCCGGCTGCGCGGCGGACGCGCCCCCTGCGCTTTGAACTGAGGCAGCAGCGGCCAGCGCCGTCCCGAGCTACAGCCCCGTGTCTCCTCCCCGCGGGCCAGCCCCGGACTTGGGGGGCTGGGGCAGTGGAAACCCAGCGGACTGCGGAGTAGGTCCGGGCTGCGGAGAAACACGCAAAGCTGCGGGATTCGCTCTGACCCACTTTCTGCCGCGCCCTCCTCCACCGTGTCCAAGTCAATGTTGTCGAGATAATTCTCTAAAAGCTGCACAAAGTTGTCAAAGATTCCGTTTCCCGTGGGTTTCTGGTCCTTCCACCCAAAGGCTAGGACGTTTAGTTGCAAGACTAGCCTCTCTAGACTGAAGAGTTCTGGCGCTTGGGTGGACAGGAGGCAGGAGGGGTGGGAAGGCAGCTTCCTCCGGAGCCCTGGGAGAGCAGACCCAATGGGACAATGAGAATGCTGAAGTAACCCGGGTTCCGACCCCGGTTCTGCCCACTGTTTAGCTCAGCAAACCCCGGCAGTCATCCTCTAGCTCATCTGAAAAATAAAGATAATCATATCTCTCCTACTCACTCATAGGAACATTTAAAGGACACAGGTCGTGATAAATAGCCTGGTAAAAGGAAAAACGCATTTAAAGTTAAAACTCCCAGTAGCATTTCTATGCCACAAAGAAGACTCAGTGTTTCATGTCAGAGAGCACACACGGAGCCAACATCAGACTCACAGAAGAATTGTAGAAGTAGGCATGCCTTTTAGGAGACACACACCCATGCTGGCCCTCAGGGGTCTTCAGTCTTGGCCATTCATGATCAAATGGTCTTCTCTCGAGTCCAGCATGATGTGCTAGTCCATCAAAATTGCTGAGCATCTGCTAAGTTCTAGGAGCAGGAGCTTTAAAGAGGGTAGTCTCTGCCTCACTCAGCTATGTGCTCCTCTGGCGCTGGACTGGCATGGCAGAGGTGTAATTACACCTCTCTTTTGGTGCCAACTCTGGAATCTTGGGCCAGGAGCGTCAACTATATATAAGACTAACTTTGGTGCAGATGAGTAAAGAAAAGGCCTCCAGAAATCAGGTAAATTTACTAATGATGGAGTTTGTACAGCCCAAGAACTCCTTACTCTTAGTAGCAATTGGAAGATGAGCCTGAGAGTCAGGACTTGGGACGTACAAGCAAGCAGTGGGAAGCAATGGAGAAATCAGGGTTAGGGGGCACTCCAAGCCCCAGACCAATTTCATTATGAGGAGGGAATGATGGGCCTCTATGGCCGTCGGAAAGGGAGGGGAGGGGGCCCCTCTCTGGGCCCAAAGTCTTGGAACTCCCTCCCGCAGGGCTTGAATTCTCCATAACCACTTCTTGGCTTGTCCTAGACTCAGGAGAGGTCAAATTGGTGTCCTGAGTTGCTGTCATTTTAAATTCATTTGACAAGTGTTTAATTCTTCTTTATCACAACCCTTGGTCTGAGAGTGATATGCAAATAATGGCTATTCTGCTGCATGCAAAGTGTGCAGTATCTCTCCCTATGATCTGTCAATTAACTCGGGACTGGCTCACCAGCTATTTTGGGGGTGGTCCTGGGCAGGGCAGCCTCTGGCTCTTGGTTCCCTGCTGCAGAAAACCATCGCCGGGTCCAGGCACTGTAAAGATCTTAGCAGAGCAGCTGCCCACAGTGATCCTGAGATCTGTGTGGGGTGTAAGTGTGTTTTGTGTGTGACTGTTGTGCTCAGGTTTGAGTTAATGGACTGGGGGTGTTTGTGAAGGTGAGTGCCCATGTGTGGGTTTCTGAGCTTGTAAGTACCACGCCCATATGTGTGAACATGCAGCCATGGGCAATTCTGAAGACCAGAGTTAAACAAAGAAGAGTTGTTGAGCCCAGATCTGTGGAGTTGGTGGTTCACTCATCCCTTGCACCCAAGAAACTTAAAAGATGTGTGGCCGGATGGAAAAAGATCTCCAAAGAGCCTAAAAGAGTGCTATCAAAGAACACATCTTTCCCAAGTTCAAGTCTTTTTCCTAAGTGCTTGTTGTGGGAGGGAGATTATTCAGTTATTTGGGGGGGGGCCCTGGGGGGGTGTTTCCTATTCTAGGATTCTGAGTAACCTATTTTCTTTTTTTTTAGTTTTATTGAAGTATAGTTGATGTACAAAGGTATATAAGTTAAGGTGTACAATACAGTGAGCCATAATTTTTAAAGGTTATACTCCATTTATAGTTATTATAAAATATTGGCTATCTTCCCTGTGCTGTACAATATATCCTTATAGCTTTTTTTATACATAATAGTTTGTACCTCTTAATCCTCTTCCTCTATACTGCCCTCCAACCCCTCTCCCCGCTGGTAACCACTAATTTGTCCTATCTGTGAGTCTGTTTCTTTTTTGTTATATTAACTAGTTTGTCATATTTTTTAGATTCCACATATAAGTGGTACCATATAGTATTTGTCTTTGTCTGACTTATTTCACTTAGAATAACACTCTCCCGAGTCCATCTCTGTTGTTGCAAATGGCAAGATTTCATTCTTGTTTATGGCTGAGTACTATTCCACTGTGTGTGCGCGCGCGTGTGTGTGTGTGTGTGTGTGTCTGTGTACATACCACATCTTCTTCATCCATTCATCTGTTGATGGACACTTATGTTGCTTCTATATCTTAAATATTGTAAATATTGCTGCTATGAACATTGGGTTGCATGTATCTTTTCAAATTAGTATTTTTGGTTTTTCTGGATCTATACCCAGGAGTGGAATTGCTGAGTCATACGGTAGTTCTATTTTCAGTTTTTTGAGAAAGTTCTATATCGTTTTCCACAGTGGCTGCACCAATTGACATTCCCATCAACAGTGTATAAAGTTTCCCTTTTCTCCAGATCTGGTTCAGTTCTTTCTTATAACCACCTGCTCTTTCCCTCTAAAACCAACATTTCCCACCCTGGTAGGAAATACATTTTCTAGGGTAGAAAGGCTGAGGAGATTCTAGTCATTTGGTTCCAAAAGAGAACATTTTTGGAAAATAGTTTATTAATTCATTATCAGGACAGATACATGATCAACGCCTTGGCTTAACACTAAAGAATATCATACTTGTAAGAAGAAAAAAAATGCTGGGAAAATAATTAAATAATACAGCAAAACTAAATACAGACAAATAAATGAGCAGGTACCGATTACACTTGTCATGCATCAAGAAAAAGCTTTTTAAATGAGACTCAAAAACCGTAAGGCATCAATGGTAGGTGACAAAGGGATTAATACCCTGTAAAAGGCCAATAGACTCTTTTCTAATAAAAATACTGCTATAAAGACACAAACCTAACACTTCCAAATTACCCAGAGCCCAAATCATATATAATGCTAATGAGTAATGGCCACTTTCTTATCAACTGTGAGTTATAGGCAGATACCAGATTTATTACTTATTTGCTTTTGAGAAACAATTTTCCACCCAACCTAATGGGTTATAAATTGTCTCATTTGCAGCTATTTAATTTAAACCAGAACCTCAGTGCCTGTTAAACAAGAACATGAAAAATGACTATGTGGTGTAATGCTAAGAGCCTACTGTTAAAACAGCCATTTAATTCAGGGCAGTTTTTTTTTTTTTTCCTAAAGGAAAATAAACCAGCAAAATAAAATGAGGCTTTTGACCTTCAGAGCAATGATGAAACATACACAGTGATGTTAGCCACAGCAACGCTGAATGCTACAGAAATAGTACAAGTGACAATTTTGTCCTTAACGAGATACAAAACCAACATTAATAATCTTTAGTGTTATCAGAGGCTGGCTGAAGGAGGGGGAGGGGGAGGAACCGTAGGTGCGGATGTCAAACGTGAGTGACACCCGAGTGTAATAAACACAGATGCTGAAAGGGTCTGAGGAAGCTGCAACTCCGCTGAGAGACATTTCACCATTAAAAAAAAAAAAAGGGAAAGATAGACTGGTTATTTCTAATTTGGCCCAGAAGCCAGAGTTAACCCTTGATGTGCTGATCAGTAAGAAAAAGGATGCATTCAAGGAGAAAAGACCACAACCGCGTACTCTATGCTCCTATGAGAGGCTGAGGCGCAAAATCAAATAAATGACACTGTTTCCTCTCCACAGGAAAGAGAAGTCAAGCTTGTCCCTGTGTGGCAGGCCAAAAGATAATGACTTCAGAATTGCATTTAAAGACAAAACGAAATGAAATGAGCCCCTCACCCTTGTCCTGGGCAAAGACCTCTCTTCCAGCACCCCAGAGGAGGAGAGGACGCTCTCACCCCAACCCGATCAGCTCATGTTCAAGATGCACAGAGTGGGAAGCGGCGGGGTTTCAGAGCTCCTGATTTCCTCTCCCCTACCACCCTTCTAGCTTTAGCTGGGAAGGAAGGCCCCAAACTGCCTCCATCCAGCAAACTTGTCTTCCTGTCTAGAAGGGACGGAGTAATTTTATCCTGAGCCTCTGGGTCACGTTCCCCTTTCCTGGTCTAAGGTATGTCCTTGTGTGACTTACATTCATCCCCTCCAAGAAGAACCCTCCTGTCTCAGTCCCAGGGAGAAAGATGCAAGGGAAGCTGGAAGGTCTTCTCCAAGCCTGCACTGGGCTGAGGGGAGGTGCAGTCTGCCTGGGGAGGGGGCCTTTGGAGGTACAGAGAGGAAGGGGCAGGAGGATGATGGCTGAAGTGGATGGTGGACACAAGAGTTGCACTATGGCCTCGAAGCAGACATGAGGTAGTCATGTTGTTAGGGAAGGATGCAGAGATTGAACCCCAGGCAGGAGAACCACATGACACGGTCTGAGAGAGGTGTGACAGACATACAGGGAAACCACAGAGAGGAAAGGCGAGAGAATTAGGAAGAGATGGGCGGGAAGACGGGGAGGGCAGGTGGACTGGGAGATGGACACTAGAGGAGGGCATGGGGAGGGGGGAAGGAGGGGAGAGCAAGAGAAAGCAGATTTTCCAAACCAGGCACTTCCCCGATTACAAAATTAGATGCAGAGTCGCTCTGAGGGGGGGCCAGCGTCACCCTCTCAATTCCGGCAGTGGGGACATGGGAGATGGGGGGGTGATGCAATTAAGATGTGAGGCATTCAGAGCCTACTTGCACTCAGCCCCGCGAGACAGGGAAGTGGGCCGGGGCTGTCTCTGTCAGACAGGGCACTGGAGACACTCTCAGAGTGTGTAATAAAAAGGCTGGGTGACGGAGGTGGGAGCCCACAGGGCTGGGGATGGACCACGCTGGGGCACCGTCCTGACCTGGAAGATCAGTCAGGCTGTAGTGACCACTGCCTGGGCCAGGGTTTCCCAACTCATCAACCAGCACACACATGTTTCACACACGTGTACATCACGTATAGCCGTGCTTCACATGTGTCTCACATATCACGTGTCACAGCATGTAGGGGGAGTCAATAACCCATTTCTTCCTCTCCCCTGAGCCGAAGCACCCTAGGGGGCTCCCAATGGCTTGATGATGTTCAGTACCTGAAGGTGCACATGTGTACGTGCGTGGCCACACATGTCATGTCCCATGATCTACACGAGCCTGTCCCAAACTGTGCCCTCTAGGGGAGCTCAGCAGAGGAGGAGACTGGGGCTCTGGGCAGGCCTGGGCTGTCTCCTGGAGGGCAGGGAGACTTTGGCTGGCAGCTGTTCCCAGGGGCCTCCTCCAGAGCCTCACTGGGCGGGAGGCCCGGGTAGGGGCAAGAAGAACTGGCCGCCTCTGGCAGGCAGGTAAGTCTGTCTGGCCCAGGGGTCACCTGTTCACACCCTCCCAGCTCCCTGTCTGGCCAGTCTGCCCCTTGCTCTAGATCCACAACATCCGAAGTGAGGTCAGGAGCCTCTGAAGGCAGGGCATCCTCAGGGTCCAGGTCTTGGAGGTGGAGGTCAGGGTTCCCTCTGGATGCACTAAAGTCAGAGTGGACAATGACTTCAGCCTCCACCTGGTTCCTACAGGCTGGGGGTGGCTTCTTCCTCCCGTTGCCCTGGTCAGAGCAGAGAACACAAAGACCATCGCTGAGAGTGACCATCAGAAGAATGACCATCATACTTGGTGAGGAGAAGTATGTTCAGAGTCCATTGTATGTAACATGGAAGTTGGTAAAGGTGAAGGTCCCACAGAGATGATGATCAGGTCCATGGGGAGGCAGGGAAATGCGACACATTGGCCCTTGCCCAGGAGTTCCAGAAGCACCAGACACAGCCAGGGCCTCAGTGACCAGCAGGAAGGGCTGAATGCACTCAGGTCAGGCCCACCGTCAGACCCATGGTAATTCTGCTGCAGCCCACTAGGCAGGGGAGGGACTGTCCCTAACCCAGAGAAACACAGATTCTCACAACCTGGCCTGCCCTCCACCCCCTCACCTTCCGAAGTTCCAGGGTTCTCTAGGCTAGACTTCTATCCCCAGGGAGGCTACCACCACGGTCTCCAGAGGATTCGCTACTGGCTCTTCATAAACACGGGGACCCTTCTCTTCTTTCCTCCCCCCTCCTCCCAGGACACTGACCTTTATGGCATCGTACACCAGAGCCTGCAGCAACAGCGTCTGCCCGGTTCCAGCAGGGGGCAGCAGGGCCCGGGTCAGAGCCGGCATGGCGCCTGCCTGGGGGAGCTCACAGCCTGCCCAGGAACCTGCCCAGCTCGGCCCACCTGGCTGAGCCCAGGAGATCTGCACAGGGAAAGAAGCGGGAGCACTGAGGGCGGGCTGGGAAGTTTAAGACGGGGAAGTGGATGGACCCCCCTCCACAGACTCTTGCCGCCGCTTACCACCTCCCTCCCCAAGGCTGCAGGGACGAGCACAGAGTGGGCTGAGAGCTTGCGGGTGAGTTTGAGGATGGAGAAGTCCTCCTGCAGAAAAGCCCAGAGGCTCCTGAGGCAGGCAGGGTCTCCGTCAGCACAGAGGCAGGGAAATGGGGAGGAAGGACTCAGGGGTTCGAGCTGGCTGGTCAGAGAGCTTGGAATGAGCCACCACGGCCAGCAGGCGGGGGGGGGGGGATTGCCTTGTGTGGGCCCACTTTATCTGGCTCGTGGGCCCACGTGGCCAAAGCCAAACTGACCAGCTTCGTTTCCCCATACTGGGGAGAGCTGGGTCTTAGGGGTCTCCCCAGCTCCCGGGATAAGGAGGGAGCTGGGTGTTCTGGCCACCCTCAGTCACCCGCAAACAGCCCGTGGGGGGCCCTCCCCTCCTCCTGAGAGCCAGGCTGACCTATTCTGCCAGCGATGGAGGCCCATCTGCTCCCCTGCCCTGCCAACCCTTTCAAGGAGGAGGGAGTGAGTG